CTCATAAATCTTGCTTTGGTGCCTTAAGCTATGTTTTTAATTCTGTGGTGGAGCTTTGAGATTTGAGACGTGTAGAAAGGAGGGGGCAACTGACGGAGGTAATCATGGAAGCTGCCATTTCTCCTTCCAGGAGCCTGGCATCTTCATTCAGCTCTTCTAATAGGTAGTTTAATGCCTCCTCCCGGAATCCATGAAAGCCAGGATGGACAGAGAGTGGAAAGTCAAAGGAAAGGAAGTTGGCTATATTATGCTACAAAAAGGATGTGTATCTTCTGTCCAAAGGAAGAAGAATGTGTGGAATGAGCAAAATAACCCAGGCAGTTGACTGGCTGGCCTATTATTCTAGTTTAGCTAAAAATGATTTCAAGGAAGGGACTCTTTCCCAATAAAAAGAGTTTTTTGTGTTATTGAAGAAAGTCTTAGTACTGTTCAACTTGGAGCTCCTTTCTGTGTTATTAAACCATATTTATTTTACATGATTGGTCCTTTGGCACTTCTACGGTGTATAAGGCAAGTCATCTTTTGGGATGTCATAATGGTTTAAAGTAGTAATTGCTTAGGTCTTCCACCCTGCCAACAATTGCATTTGAGTAGACTTCTGAGTCTGAGTCACTGAGTGGAACATGTAATTAACATGACTAAAGGAAGAACTCTGATCTGTGAAAATTCTGGTCTTCGGTGTATATATCTATAAAATGAAATAATTGGAAACACACTTCTAAGGGGCATTACAAGTCAGACAATCTAGGATACTAAAAATCTCCCACTCCTATATACCCGCTTCTTCCATTAAGTTCTTATTTGTCCTTATAGACCCCTTCCTCTACTTCTATACCAGTCTGTGAGATTTTGATGTTTACCAAAAGTGAAGAGTAAGAAGTGGGAATAGAGGCCAGATATGGCTGGTTTTCTTGAGGATAGAAAGTGGGAACAAAATAACTTATTATTGTAACAGAGTGAAATGCTCAACCTTTCTGACTCCATCTTATTCAGTCCTGCTTTTTTCCATGGCCTTCAGGTAAATAACTTCTTGCACATAGACAAGCTAATCATTGAAGGAATTCTGCTTGCAGCTTGAGTTTTACAAAAGTAACTCCTACCAGAAAGTACCTCTCCTGAGGAGATAAAAGAAATATGTATTGTTTATCAAAGATTTGCAGGTACCTCTGACTAGACTCATATCAACTAGGGTCAACAGACTAAACACAATCTTTCTTGGATCCCTGCTGGTACCCAGATATCTGCAGTTGTTAATCACCTCTTAACCCTTATATTTTCTCTTTCTTTGACATAAAACAAGCCTGAACTCTACTTTCTTAAGATGGATTTAAGCCACCATTAAATCTCCCATCATCTCAGTTGTTGCCTTCTTCATCAATAAATCCTTCCTTACTCAAAACTCTAATGTTTTGAGTTTTAGCCTTTTGAAGTACCAGGCACATGGACTGTAGACTAGTAAGACAGGGATAATGCTGTTACTCTTCCTCCTTTTTATTCTATTTCACTAGTAGCTCTTGACTTGGTGATCTGTTGAAGCCTGGTCAAATGCTTTATCTTATTTACTGTTAACTTCATCTATTTCTATCAGTGAGGTTTAAAAAATTGCTATGAAGTTCACATATTTTTACATTTTATTTAACAGTATGCAATAAGCATTATGGTACATGCTAGCACTCAATATTTGCTAGATGGCCAATGCCTTATAGCATACAAAACATTCTCTCATTCATTATCTTCTTATTTCTTGTAAAATTGTTGCTACCTGAAGATCAGAAAGCTGGTATGAAGTGCTCAAAGACAAAAAAGACAAACAACTAGTGTGGGCCTAAGACAGAGGTCTTGGTTGCCCAATAGAAGGCACAATGGTTCTTACCTACTGCAAGGTAGAATCTACGGAAAGAGGGTTCTATTGGGATGATTAAAGGAAGAATCCAAAGGATCCAATTCAAACAGTTTTCTTTGCTTAAAATTTGATGTTGTCTTTCTTTACCTGGGACTGTATCCACCCTTTGAAAACTTGACCATAATAGCTCTGTGGGAAAGACCCAGTCTTCTTACCCTGATGACATAACTTTTTAATTATTACCCCCTGATTTCTAGTAATACTTTATTTTCCTACAATCTCAGAATTGCTAATATTGAGTGTATATAAAAATTCAGAATTCCATTTGAGAGAGATTTTCTTTCTGACCTTTAGCTAGAATTCCTGAGCATGCATTTTGCCCACAAAAGGTGGCAGGCTCCTTAGGGCAATTCTTTTAACTCTGTGTCTAATTGGAAATAAGGCTGTGTTGTGTAATGGCAGGACCTTAACTTGGAATGTATGTTGTAACAATAGCCCAGAATGGTGAAAATATACCTAAATGAAGTTTTAGGAAACTATGTCTCTCGCTAGCTAATTCAGCTCTGTTTGTAGTGATGTTTTGGGAAATCCCTGGTCCTTTCTGAGTCAGTTTTCCTACTTCCAGAAAAAAAGACACTGGGTTATAGCTTCTAAGAGACTTTCTAGCTCTGGCATTCTATAGTTTATAAGCCTTAAACTACTATCCCTCCACATTGGCTGATGGGTGCTTTTACATGTTTGTGAAATAATGTGGTAGGTGCTAAAGTTGCCTAAAAGTGATGGGCAATAGTTAGTGTAGCCTTTGTAGCAGAGGATGTGTTCTGCTGGGGGAGGGGTGCTAATTTGATGCCTCTAAATTAAAGATATAACTCAGAGGCTTTTTATGGATCCCCCTGACTGGCTGAATGCTAGTAGTATTATAGCTGTATATACTACTCACAGAAGAATGAGGCATGGAATGTTAGCATATGGAGACATTCTAAGAATATTTGGGGAAAGTGAGATTTAGAAAAAGAAATAAGTTTGCTCCTGGTTACACAGCATTAAGTATCAAGACCGAGACTCTAACACTGGACTATCTGATGTCCTGTTCACTGCATTTTTACTCTACTTCACATGATTGCTCTCATGTAACACAAGTAATAGTTTAAAAAAATGTTGCTAGTCATAATGAAGTCCATATTCTCCACAGTTGCCCTAGTGACACTTGACAGAAGAGAGGATGATAGATTTTCATAGCACTCTGGTACTAAAGGCTTTTCTGAGAAGCAACACCTTAGTTTTACCTTTGGAGAGATTATTTAGTTCTAGATTTATCTTTCCATTTGTTACCTCTGGAGCTCACAAAAGGATTGGCTGAAATTGTATACTTAGAAGCATATTATATCTCTGAGAAAGGTCAGTGCCATACTCAAATTGATTGTCTGTTTAGAAATAGGGCTCCTCTTTAATATCATGCTTAAACTTCATTTGGGGTTTCCCTAAAATGAAATAATATAAAGTATACTTACCAGATAATATGTCTTGGCATATTTTCATCCCTTTTGGATAAAAGCAAAATTGTACCCAGTACATAAATTGACAAATGGATCAGTAAATAATTCTATTATACAAGCTGTTTTAATGCACTCAGACCAGATGCTCCATTAATCATCATGTATAGAATATTCACTGAGCTCTGGATTTATAACTAAGCCAGGAAAAAAATGAGGAAAAGTACAGGAGGTATGATAAAATATAGCAATGGAGAAGGTGAGGGGCTAGAAAGAGAACTTTAGAGGTATGTACAATATTTTCATTTTTTTCTCTCTTCTTTTTCTCTCTTTCTCTTTGTTTTTCTTTCCGGGCAAAGGACTAAGTATAAAAAAAGGTTAAGTGTCAGCTTTCATATGTAATCATCAAAAATCTGAAAATAGGGCAGCAGAACTTGCCAGTCTCTTTTCATACTTTCCTTTTGGAACCAGCCAAGTGGAAGAGGGGTGTTATATGCTTATGTGTGAGATGGTGTTTATACACATCTCTAAATGAATAAACATTCAGAAACCACAATAACATTCCCAAAGGAATCCTTCCTTAATACAGGAAGTCACAGCTTTGCAAAGAGACCACAAATTAAGCTCCAGTTTTTAATTCTAGATCCCAGGATTTAATTTCTAGAAGAAACAAGACCTCTGTGATGTTCCATGGTGCTCTTTAGAATCACAGCCACCTTAGTTTTAAAGCTTGTCAAATGCAAAGTTCCTGAGCTTGTCTTAGCATTCAGGGATCTCTTTGCAATCAGAGATGTCTAAAATCACTAACCATAAACTCTAATGGGCATGTGCAAAAGAAGAGGCCTCAGAAACTACAATTTTGTTATTTAATGTACCCATATTCCCCTGCCACAAATTCCCTCCCACCACTCTCAAGACAACTTTCTTTTGCGCTGCCCTTGGGTTTACCAGATGACCAGGCCAGGGTTCTACCAGACAGTGGCTGCATCCTACATGCTGTGGGTCAGGACTATGAATTTAGTGGGAAAGGGCAGAGAGAGTCTCCATAAGAGCTTTGACACATTTGTTGCTGAAATTTTGTTGGGTGGAATGTATGCAGAGAATAGAGAATTGTGAGATATAGAAGTTGAGGTTACAGAGTATTTTGAATTAGTTATCCAGCTTAAAGATCACATATATCTTCCTATTTGAGAACCCCAGATTTTTTTAGTTATTGCTTGTATTTTTGGCTCTGTGGAAATTTTTGTCATCTGTCTTTTTCTTTGAAATCATCTCCCAAAGTTTTCTGTTTCAGTTCCTGTCCCACCACCTTGACTCTTCCTTCTCCCTTTCTCTTTTAACCCGTACCATCAGAATGTTGTCATGAAATGAGTGGTCCATTGCCCAGCCCTGACATCTGTCCTGAATACCAGAATCCCATTTCCATTTCCAACTAGGCATCTTCACATAAATTCTCAGTCACACTTTGAATTCATCATTTCTGAATGCAAATCCATCCTTTTCTTCTAAGTTCTTTGGAACAATTCAACTAGTTGATAGTTAAGCCAGTTATCTCAGCAGCAATATAAAACCTTACTGATATATTCCATTCTTTTCCCACCCTTTCCTTTTTGCTTTAATCTAATGGAAATGGCTAATCCAAAGGAAAAATTTCTTTCTTGTAGGAGACAAGGAGAAGGACTTAGGATCTACTGGGGGAGTCTGGAGCAGCAATCTCTATTGTCCCGTTGGAACCCATGGTCCACTGAGGTACCTTATGCTACATTCACGGAGCATCCTGTGAGGTATACCAGTGAGAAGTTCCTTGAACTTTGCAAGGTAGGAAGCAGTTTGGAATTCACTCTTGGATTAGCTTTGTTGGTAAAGTTTTATGTTTCTAAAACATGTACAGTTAAAAAAATGATAAGATACAACCTGGGATTTATATAGATAAAAAGTAAAATAGGTTTATGTAAGTTTGTTAATAAAAAATGAAGCTGTATTATATATGAAAAAAACATAATATTTACAATAACCATACCATGATGTTTCTTCCTTGCTAATTTCTTAGCAAGAAAGTACAGTGTAATATTGTTTACAAATTGCAATATTTATGTTTGACTGACTGTGTTTATCACCCACAAGCTGCATATAATTTTCTATGTATAATTAAATTCTAATTATTTTATTCAGAAAAACATGAAATAGTGTGAAGTTTGAAGTATGGCTCTGTGGTCATATTTCATAAAAAAGCTCATAAGTAACTTTTCTCTTTGGGTCTTGGTAGTCTTATACCTGAACGGAAATAATGAAAAGTGACCTTCCTCCCAAACTCAATGGATCATTATAAAGTTAAATGAGATAATGTGTATAAAAGTGTTCTAAAAATGGTAAATCAGTTAACAATATTTTTATGTATTTAAATCTCATCTCCCCAAATAGATTTTAAATTTATTGGGGGCAGGGAGAATCCCTTTTCCTATTTCTTCTTCTTTCACAAGGAAACTTAAGCAGTACTAGTATACTACAACTAGTCTAAAATGGTTGAAACCATACATGCAGTGAAAAATCAAACTTCACATTTCCCACAAAACTAGATACACACATACAACTACAATTATAGGCCTAGGAATTCTTGCCTTCTCTCTCCTTTCTATCTTTACCTTTATGTGTTGGCATTCACTTCAAAATATCACAAGTCTTCATTTGGTATAAATTCAGACCATGATAATCTACATCTAAATTCTTCTGTGGTTAGATGACTTACTTTATATTTCTTGCATTATTTGAATATATTTAATTAATAAAATATACATGTAATGTATAAATAAATATTTTAAATTGATTAGTCCTGTACTCTAAAAAGGATTTGAGGAAAAATATATGTGATTCGAGACTGGTTGGATCTTTAGCCTTATTTATATACAGATGAAGTTGACTTGAATCCTTTTCTGATCTCAGGAAAAGTCAGTGGTCCTCTTTATGCAGTCATCCTCAGGAACCTATGGTCTCAAGTTTACCTCTGGCTCCAAGCTATTGCAGACACTAAATTAGTTCATTGTATGAATAATGTTTCTACTATTTCTGGAGCAGCAACCTCTATTGTCTCTATACGTCACAATTCTATTTTACAAAACCTTGACCCAAGCATCAACATTAGCCCCCAGCCTGACTCTTACTGTCTAAAGTCAACAAAACAAAACAAAATGAAAACAAATAAGAATAACGTAACACTTATACAAAGGCATTTGTGTGAAAGTAGACACACTGAAGGGTTTAGGGAGTTTATATCATAATAATGCCATAAACTTCAAATGAAATATCTCCTCCATGTTTTAAAAGACCTTATTAATGATAATGTTCTAATGCATTTCTCCATAATTCTTTCTTCCTCTATCTTGCTCTTCCCACACCACCAAATTCAGTTTTATTTTTTCTTAGTAATAACACAGTGTAGTTTATCTGTTCCTTTTTTAACACTTGTTATTCCAACACAAGAACTCAATAATGTAACTTTCCAAAGCCATTCTCCACCTTTAAAAGGAATCTAGTTCTAGCCTTTAATATAATATATATTTTGAATTAATAGTAATTGTATTTTATTATCATTCAAAATAATACCATCTTAATAAATTAATACCAATAATAACCTTCGTTATTACATCCATCACTTCTCTTGTCCCTTATACTTGGAGCATTAAATACTTATTCCTTGAGTGTCCTTTACTAGAAGAAATTTAGGGTGAATGATTAAAGAACAATTTCTATTAACTACAGAGAAATGCCACCACATTACTCTAATACCTGTTAGTACTTTGTTTTATTCTTTTACATATAAATACAATAAAATAATTTAAGGAGAATGATAAAACCTAAAATATCAAAAGGGGGCTGGAATAATTAAAATTTTCCCCAAGCCCTCCTATTAGCTAAAGCTGAAGGGGAAATTTGATGTTCTTATAGCTCTTGTTGGATAGAGGTAAGAACAACAGAGTGTGTGTGTGTGTGTGTGTGTGTGTGTGTCCACATCTATGGGTTTCAGCATGATGAATGGTCAGGTAGTTGGTTGGTTTTCATTCAATCAAACTTTGTGGATCTGTTAGATGTGTTGCTTTTAAGGCTTTTCTTTATTTTTCTTCCAAAGTATTTTTTTAATTCCTGGCAAGAGTCTGGTGCTCCCATTTGCCAAGCCATTTCTTAATTCAAAGACCACCCCAATCCCAACTCTGTAGGAAAATAAGTGATCTCCATCTAGGACATAAGATGATGAGTCTCTTATCCAAATCTTAGAGTCTTCATTTTTCTTTTGTTGTTGGTTTTATGTCACAGTATTATTTATGTTCAGAACATTTTCCCAGATTGGCTTTGATTAAGACTCAGTCATATTATACTAAAAGAATAAATAAGAAGAAAAGATAATTTTAGAGACACAATACCTTTTATAAGAACATTTTGGCATAACATGAGATGTTAAAAGGGTAAAATAAACTAGTTTTTCCATTCCCTTTATGAATAAAACAGGTAAAAATAAAAGAATATGGATAAAATTTTATAACTAAATCAAATACCTGAAACAATTTAATTTGACAAAACTATTATGGTCCAGGAAAGGGAATCATGGAGGGCTGAGTCACATGAAGCCAGAATCTTCAAATAATTTACAATATAATGGAGTAATTTCTTATGTAAAAATATCCAAATTTATTTTTACTCAAAATCTTTTTTTTCTGTAGATCTTTATTCAATAAATGTTTCCTGACACCTACAAAATGCAGGAGTTATGATTATTGTTAAGGGTATAGAAATCAATGGGATAAGATTCTCCCCTTTGTGGAATGCATTGCTTAATAGGGGAGGCAGAGAAAAATGCAGAGATTTTTAAATGAGTACCAGTTGGCTTAAACAGAAGTTTGGATGAAATGAAGAGGGGTGGAGGCATGTGCAGGTAAAAGGCATGTTCTTAGACAAAGAGTAATTCTATTTAGAGGGAGTTTGATCCTATATATTCATCATCATAATTTTATTGCTCAAAAAATATAGGGTAGGGCAAAATTAGTTTTGCAGTTGTTCATATGGAAAATAACACTGTAATTAATAAATAATAATATATGAGTAAACTCTGTGCTGTGTATTCATAGCTGTAAAACTATTTTGGCCCGCTCCGTAGGTAGATGGGATGAGCTTAAAGTAAGTTAGAGGCAGTAGGAATGGAGAGAAGATGAAGACATTTTGAGATATTCAGAATATAGAATCAATGGAAGAAGGTAACTGACAGGATATTTTAGGTGAAGAAGAGGCAGATTTCAAAGGTGACACATTTTCGGCCTAAGTAGATGGTGATTCCATTAATTTAAATGGGGGAAGCTAAAAGAAGAGTAGTTTTGGAGGTTCAGTTTAGGACCTGAATTTGAAATGTCCATGGAACATGGGGTAGAGTTTATTGTCCAACAGTTAGAAATTTAGGTCTAAAGCTCAGGAGAGAAAGCTGAGCTGGTGACAGAGGTTTCAGATTATACAACATCGAATCAAAGTTGAGTCATGGGGTTGATTGGCTAGGAAATTACCCTAGGAAAGAACCTTCATGGACACAAATGTCATTCAAATTCTAATTTATATTATCTTCTCATCTCACTGATCTAAAAAATCACAAAGTTACACAATAATATACCAAAATACATTCTTAAAAATCTATCTCACTACAGCATTTCTACATCTGGCAATTATGATGGACAAATGGTCTCTTTCCAGACATTGTTGCTTTTCCCTGAGCCTCCCTGACATTTTCCAATCTGCATGCACATACTTTGCATTATTCATATAAAATAGTTGTGAAAATATAAAATAATACTTTTTGGTATTGTTTATATTATTATAAGATGTAAACATAATCTCATATAATATTATATAATTATAATTTATGTTTATTATAGCTTGTATGTTTTCATGTAATTCACTAACAAAGCCTTGTGAGATGAGAACAGCTATCTGCATTTTAAAAATAAGAGTACCTAGTCTTGGCTAGGTAGCTAAGTTCATAAGAGCATCATCCTGATATACCAAGGTTGCAGGTTTGATCCCAGGTCAGGGCACATACAAGAATCAATCTATGAATGCATAAATAAGTGGAACAGCAAATCTCTCTCTCTTTCCCTCAAGTCAATAAATAAGAATAAAATAATAAAAATTAAAAAAATAAAAACCTACTTACTTAGAGTGATTGAGTTGACTAAGGTATTGCAATAAAATAGCTCTATTTCTACATCAAACAATTTGCTAATATGCAGACAAATGTATTTAAATTTGAAGGAACTCTTTGTGTGTTTTCATATTCATTGATGTGATATGATATAATGTCACATTACACATTATGACCAGTCTAAATTATCCTCCATTATTTCACTAACTTAACATTTGCAATTTCTAGCAGTATCTTCCCTCTTTTAATTATTGACTTGTTAGGCTCCTAGAGTGTGTGGAGAGTCTTGCTCCGAGTGACTAGTGAGAGTCCAGAGCTGGTCAAGTAATAGTGAATGGGTCACGGAAGGTCTACAGCCAAATTAAAGTGATCTGTTTTCTAATCCTTCTTATTCTTTTCTGGCATTGTTACCTTTTCTTTTTCAGGGAATTATAAAAGTGAATCAATATTTTAGCAATCAAATGTAACTTTATATCCCTAGCCCTTTCATTTCCTTTCATATCAATTTAACCAGTATTCATTGAGTACCTACCTGGTATTGAACACTATGTGCTGAGCAGTGTGTTAGTAATCTGGGATACCAAGAAGAATGAAACAGATTTTACCCTCCAGATACTTATAGTGGAAAGGGAGAAGGCAAAAA